CTTGTCTGTTTTTGCAGCAGGAGCACTGATTTCTACCGCAGAGACAAAAAGTTACACCAGCACCACAGCATTCAATGAGAGTTTGACGACAGCACGTGAGTACACGATGCATCTCCTTTGCTTCATAGGACTGTAACAGGGGAGTTATGAAGCTAAGTCTGAGTGCTGCAAAGCGCACGTGGCACCAACTTCGCGAGAGTTGGGTTGTAAAACTACAGTGATCTGGAGTATCTTGCAAAAAGTACAGCAGCGGGTACTGGGCTCTATGTGGTCCTCAGTTTGTGATATCTTTGCCAAGTGCTTATTTTCAGCTGCTGGTTGATGGTCATCACATCACCGTGCAAAAATTATTGCTAAACATGGGAAAAGTGGTGTCCGAGCAGAGACCAAAGGTCAGGTGGTGTAATCTGTACCAGCTTTTCAATACTTCAGAGAAGCAATTGCCCTGTTGAGTTGTGCTGAGTTGGGAGATAAGGGCTTGAGTCTTCCAAGCTGTCAAGGGTTTGCGGCAGCAAAAGAGGAATAAAAAAAACATTTGAGTATCCTAGTTTTATTAGACTTATTAAATTAAATAATATTAAAATTGAGAGAGTTGCTAGGCAAGCGTAGTGAGTACTGGGGGTAGTTTATAGATGAAATAAATTACTGGAGAAGCTAAATAAAATCACAGAGCAGCAATGAAATAATGAGATAATGTGGGGCAATAAAGGCTGGATAATAGAACATTGGAAGGCGGCCTTATTAAAGATCAATAAATCAATACATAACCCCTAGGGCTGGACTTTTTTCCACAAACTTTTCCCTTTAGAAAACCTCTGCTCAGCAGCAGAAGGCCAGAAGTTACTTTCTTTTTTAACATCTTGGTTTCAGTTTGTGCTTTCGGAACAGGCAGGACCTGTCGATGCGCTGCTGCATTTGTACGGCAGTCATCTTTTGGCTGAAGTGCAAACGTAGCAGCCGCTTTCCATTTTCTGAATATATTTTTGGCAGCACTCCAGTGCTTATTTACCCACGTATAACCCATGCATTTAGATCGAAACCTTATGACAACTTCTAAGGCTTCACGATCCTGCTCTTGCACAACTTGCTGGTTGCAGTTTTTGCTAAAAGCGTGCTGAATTATGACACTATTTGCAGGACGTACCATGAGTTGCACCACTCGTTGGCTTCCCTGCAGCCGTGCCCGCTTGACCACCACCTGGGGCATGGCCTTGAAGGGTCCTCAGTCCGGCAGATGCAATTGAGGGCAAAAAATGGGCACGGGTGCACCTGCTGAGGCACACCAACGTATGTCCCTTATAATAATAAGTAGTGCTCATCAGCGTGCTGTATAGAGCACAGTGCAATGGGATCTCTAAGCGTATATCCTTTTCTTATATATCTATGACTTTTTAAAATGCCAGATCTACCATGCTTATCCCCATAAAATTAAACACCTAATAAACAAGGAGAAAAGAAGAACTGAATGGAATTAACATCCAAAGCTCTCAGTGAATTTCGAGAGTGCCCTAAAGCTGGACTGATTTTGTTCGGGCTTTTTAATGCATACATACATACATACATACATATATACTTGAGCTCAATTTCAATCAGAACCAGCATCTCGTAAGAAAGAGATTTTCCTGGTTCTGCTTGGTTACTCATTTACATAATTTAAACTGTGGAATGGAATTAACATCCAAAGCTCTCAGTGAATTTCGAGAGTGCCCTAAAGCTGGACTGATTTTGTTCGGGCTTTTTAATGCATACATACATACATACATACATATATACTTGAGCTCAATTTCAATCAGAACCAGCATCTCGTAAGAAAGAGATTTTCCTGGTTCTGCTTGGTTACTCATTTACGTAATTTAAACTGTGGATTTTTTTTCTTGGATTTGTAAATCAGCAATTATACTAGAGACTTTCAGAGGGTTATGTTATTTCATAACTCTGTTATTTCATTTGTTGTTTGCATCAGAGAAAAGTGAAGGTTATAAAATAGCCACAGTTGAGCCACTCTGTTATTTCATTTGTTGTTTGCATCAAAGAAAAGTGAAGGTTATAAAACAGCCACAGTTGAGCTTAATGAAGCAATCACGTACAGGCTTGTAAGGTAATTGAAGGATATTATTTCTCTTTGTACAGATTTGAATGATCCCACCACCGAATCCCCGCAAAGCCTCAGGACAGACACACACTCCTCCAAAAATACAACCCTTGTGCATCGTAAGTGCCATGGCAGCCATGGAAATGCTGTGCCATTGTCTAGTCGCATATTTTAGCTATTATTTTGGAAGACACGAACACGGAGATGGCTAGAAAAAACAGGAATGTACCCTCAGGCAGCACTGATCTTAAATATAGGTAGCTTAGCTGTATTAGGAAAGGCAAAGTATCTATCCACAAACAGAGGAAAGGTGATTTTTGTGATTCAGACACAGTACTTGACAGAAGAGACTGAGGTTTCACTCAGTCACGGCAGAGGCAGACTCTTTCTGCTGCTGCTAAGCCACTTAATATGTTTAGCTTTTTCATTACCATGAAAGAGGTAAAAGGTTTATCATTCTCCCAGACCGCTATGCAGCTCAATGCTGGCTTGCTGGAACATCTTAGGAGGTATTTTCTAATAGTCTTTCTTTCTTTCTTCTAATATTCTTTAATTTGATAAAAACACTTTTTTTGTGTAACACTGGTTCGTAGGCCAAAAACATAGGCATCTTGCCAAGTGAATTTTGACACCCTAATTCTGGAATTTGATTTCCAGTTTTCAGCAGGGTGAATGACGGTGGCTTCAAAATACAACCTTCATTAAAGAAAAACTTAAAATGTCACTAAAAATGTTCTGTACCATATCTTTTTAGGTAACCTGTCCTTCAGCATCACTGATGAGCCAATTTCAGTTACCAGAGGGAAAGATTTCTTTACTACCAGCAGTCTGCTCAATAGTACTGGTGAGACATTATCCTACAAACCCTCTTCTTTCGGCGTGCCGTTCCAGTAAGCAAGACAAGCAGAGAAGCACGAAACCTGGACCAAGGGAGTTCAAAAAAGGGAAAAGAGATGAAAAGAGGAGTCACAGCTGCTGTGTCCCCACACCGTGGGTTGTCGCAGGCTTTTGGG